GGATGGCCAAGGTGCCCGGCTGCCATTGCTGGGTCAGTGGCCCAATTCCCTTTGTCCAGCCCTTGACCCCTCAACTGCAGACAGGTGCCTCCAGAAACACACAGAGACGAGTTTGGGGTGCAAGATGTTTATTAGGGAAATAACACCTGTGAAAAGAAGAGGATTGGGCACAGGAAGAAGTCAAACTGTGCTGCAGGCCCGATAAAGCCCTGGCTCTTCTGGGGTGGGGACTGGTGTCTGCCTGGCGCTGGACCCAAATGGCCAGGCATATACAGGACATTTTGCTCAGATCCCAGGGCAGGCTGCCCAGGAAGGGTGTGACTTCTCTGACCCTGAAGGAGTGGACACGTGGAGACCACTGACCCTACCTCCCACAGCTGGGAAAGCCCTTCCTGCCTGTCTCCCCAAAGCTCCTCTTCCCAGCTCGATTCCAGCCAGAAAGGCTAAGGAAGCACTGGTGATTCCCACACCCAGTCTTGGCTCCTTCAGGGGGAAAAAAAGCTTTGTCTGATCTTAGAAATTGACTAGATCTGATGAGAAAAGAATTAGGGGCAGGGGTCTCCGAGGACAAAGGAGGGAAAGGCCTTGGTCTCAGTTTCCACAACACCAGTCAGAACCTCAAGGGGAGGACCTGCAGTTTCTGCCCTCTGCTCATTCAGTCTACACTGCAGGCTGGGAGCCAGGCCCAGCCAGCAGCCTAATAGCCCCGGGGATTCCCACCGGGAGGAGAGGCGGTGCCTCTGGACACTTTGCCAGGAAGCAGAAGCAGATCTCTGGCCTCTGCTGGCTGTAGGCCCCCTGCAAGTCGCTTTGCCACCCAACCCTTGGGCTCTCCCTCGGGACCAAAGCCTGGCAAATGGTCCTCACAGCAAACCTTGCTTCATCCTGAGAGGCAGGTACCAGGGTTATCCTCACCTTCCACAAATCCAAAGAGCTGAGAGGAAGTTAATTTGCTCAAGGTCATGAAGGCGTTCAGTGGTGGAGCTGGGCTTTGAGCATAGGCAGCCGGGCCCAACCTGCTTCTTAATCCTGAGAGCAAGGTCAAACTGACCCATTTAGGTGTGACCTGTCCACATACACTGCATCTGGCCCACAGTAATTTACAAAGTCAAGCTAGCTTTCATTTTGAAATGACTCAGAAACATCTCCAGCTTCTCTTGAAAAGTCTGGCTACAGACAGCTTCCCCACATCAGCACAACCGGGAGCGGCCACCCTTGAATTAGGTCATGATGTTGGTGCCCACCCAGACTCACCCACTCATTGATGTTACCTGCCTGGCCATTGGAGGGACGAGTCTGCTGTCCCTCATGAAGGCAGGGAGTCCTGAGATGGAGACAGTGGCCCAGAGAAACCAGGTGCTTACCATGAGACAACCAGCTCTTCCTGTACGGAATGAATCCTACGGATGGACGTGAATCTGGCCAACTGGGGGAGGGTTGAGGAAAGCACAGACATGCAGAGCCACAGGGCGAGGTCGGGGCAAATACACTTTATTCAGTCCTGGCATCAGACTGGCGGAAGTCCTGCTGTGGGTGCCAGTGCCCCAGACGAGGGACCCCTCCCTCAGCTACGAGACTAGTTCTCCAAGACCACAGACAGAGACATCTCTTCACTCACATGACGTTTTGTTTTTTTTTTCATTGTCTTTTTTTTGTTGTTGTTGTTGTTTTCTTAAAAAAAAAAAAAGAGAGAGAGAGAGAGAGAGAGAGAGAAAGAGAGAAAGAAAGAGCGCAAGAAAGGCCCAGAGCCGGAGCACCAAGCTTAAAGGAGGCAGCTGGTGGCTTTGTCAGCGAAGGGAACGCGTGGGGCAGAGACCTGCGGAGACCCTGGGCAGGGGTCCCGGAGGACTCTGGGACCGTTTGTTCCTGAGATTTGTGTGTGTGAATGAGAGTGTGTGAGCACCCGGAGGTGAACCCACGCCGGTGAGATACAGGTAGTGAGGGCGGAGGGGGTGTGGGGAGGCCGGAGGGGCGGGGCTCGAGAGGGGAGAAGGGGAGAGGGTAACAGGATGGGGGCAGGGTTCCCAAGGGCACCCTGAACAGGACACAACTTCCTAATTTCCTCCTAACAGCAGCGCCAACCCCGTTTCTCACGTGGAAAACAGACGCAAACGCCCACCTCCATTCCCCTGAACCCGTCCTCAGTCTCCGGCCGACCGGCGGTCTCTCTCAAGCTCTTGTTTAGACGTGGGTCTCTTTCCTGCCACTCCATCTGCTGTCACGCCTCAGTCCCAACCCCCTAGCACCAACGTGCTTTAGGTTCTCCCACCGAATACTGCAGCTGTGGTTGTTGAGGGTGGATCTGGATGGATTTAGGAAGGGGCCGTAGGCTTAGGGAGGAGCTGAGAGGGTGCCCTGAGATGATAGGGCGCTTCCCCACGGGGAAGGGAGCAGCAAGAACCCTGTCCCCAGACTAGTAGGCATCTTGGTTCTGAGTTATCATGAACAGTCCCTCTCTAGGTGGATTTCCAGAGAAAGGCCCCATTCTTAATTTCCAGTTGGGGCAAATAAAAGGGTCGTTTCTGGGGACCACATTAGGCTGTAAAGGCAATCGCGCAATTGGAGGAGGTGATAGGCGAGGGTGCCCACAACAGGGAAAAGGGGCTATGCCACTTAAAAGAGTTTGAAGCCCAAAGCAACCCTTTAGGGCCAGTTAGTTTCTTTCTCTCCCTTCCGAGTGCTTCTCCCATTAAGGCAGTGACACCCCGTCGGTTGAGACGAAGCCACAGGCTCCAGGATCAAAGATTTTTTGGGATAGCTCTACACTCGCTGCCCTCCTCCACCGAGCAGGAGACATAAGCTAGCAGCTCAACTGGGACCAGCCCCCTCCTCCCAAGAAGCATTAAGCATGCGCAAGAAAGGGATGGTCCAAGCGGAGGGGGCGGGCCCTAGCGCTCCCCGAGTAAAGGAGCGCGCCCCTCCCCCCTGGGGGGGAGGGGCATGAGAGGAACGCGCGGAGCTGCCCGGTCGCATCGCCCCCTAACCGAGAAGGCAGGCAGAGGGCGGAGGGATTCGCGAGCAAGGGAGGGGGCGTGTCCTCCGGCCACGAGGAGGGGCGTGTGCAAAGTGGGGGAGGGGTCCAGGTCTGTAAGAGGGATGGGAGGTGTATCGGAGGGGAGCTGGCTGCTGGTGGCTGTGCGGGAGGGGACAAGATGGGGAGGGGCTTGGATGTCAGGGGAAGGATGGGGGGTTGGGTTGCCTTGGGGAGTGTCTGCGGGGGAGGGGTATGTCTGGATGGGGGGGATGGGCACGTCTAGGAGGGGGGAGGCTGCGCGGGAGATAGGGTGCCAGCCTCGGCCTCCGAGGGGCCCCAATACCTGATTCCTGTATGTAAACAGCTGGTTTGGGGGCGTGCGCGCCCCGCTGACGGTGGGCTCAGTAGGTGAAAACCAGGTCGGCGATGCTAGACGGGCGCCAGTCCCCTGCGATCATCTCGGTAACCTCGGGGGTGCAATAGTCCGGGAATTCGAAGTGTGACGTGCCCGAGGCGGGCGGCAGGTCCGGGTCGCGGTCCAGGGCGCTGCAGTCCAGGCCGGCGGGGCCCGGGGGCAACCTGGACAGAAAGCCCAGCGGCTCCTCCCCCGACGCCACCGTCTCATCTTCGCCTTCCTCCACCGCTGCCGCCTCCTCCTCCTCTTCCTCTGGCTCCTCGTCCTCCGACGGTGTAGGGGAGGTGGTGGTGGCGGCCGTCCCCTCGCCCGACGGCCCTTGGGCGCGTTCAGCTTGTCCTCGGGCGGCCCGCC